TTTCTGTAAGTCTAATTAGAGACAAAAATCACACATGCACACACCACAAGAGATTTTTTTACTAATACTGTGCACATAAAGTCAAAACTGAAAGATGAAGTTCTGCTAAGTAGTCCTCTGAGTTTAGAAAAGTAACTATACTGAATACCACCAAATAAAAAAGTAACTGTCCCAGAAAACAGTTACTCAGTATTCAGAATGTTTTTTTGTTTTTTTTTTCAGTATGTGTATTTAGTTACTTTTCAACACTGCTCAATATTTCTACCTAACCATAGCCCGTTTTGCACATTTGACTTTGGTGTGATTTTTATCATGCTTTTTCAAAATGATTTAATCCATTATACTAAGTGAAACCGTTTGTCTAGACCAGAGAAAGTGCAATAGAAGTTAATGCGAGAAACAATGTAGTAAAGGCAATATTAAAAAAAAAAAAAGGCTCAGGTTCATTAAAAGAATTGTGTTAATGTGAACGTGGAAATAGGAAATACCCACATTTAAAGCGCCCATATTACACTATTTTCTGAGCTCTGATGTTACAGAGGTGGGGATTTGCAAGTCATGACTTGGACTTGAGTCAGAGTTGAGTCACTATTTTTAGGACTTGATAAAATGTACAAATGCAAGACTTGGGACTTGACTTGAACTTGAGGCCTTTGACTTGAGAAGACGTGAGAAGCACCTTTAAATCTGAATTCTTTCTATTCTGACCGTAATGATTCACACTAAGATCTTGTCAAGACATTTAAAAAGGAAAAGTTTACATTTCTACAACTCTTATATACTCTATAAATACTCATATATAAATATAGTATGATTTTTTAAAGTACAATTTATCTTAAAAGTCATATAAATTGCAAAAATCCTTCGATTAAAGATTTTAAATGACTTGAAGCTCAAAGCAGACGACTTGCACTTGACTTGGACGTTATGGGCCAGTGACTCGAGACTCAACTTGGACTTGCCTTTATTTGACTTGTGACTTGACTCAGACTTGAGGTCAAAGACTTGAGACTTACTTGAGACTCATAAAACAATGACTTGGTCCCACCTCTGCTATGTTATAAAATTGTTTCCTTATCACAAACATATCTGAAGTTGTGTTTTGTGTCATTCACACACATTTAACTCATAAACCCTGCATATTTAGGCCAAGTTCTTCTCTCAAACAGAAAACACACAAATGCTCCACTGTGTTTTTAAAGTCCATACACCTTCACTAGAATCATTTGGATAATTTTAGCCTCGAAATTGCCAATCTCTACTAAACAAAAGGTAACATGTAGGGATGAAACAAAACACAACTCCAGGTATGCATTTGAGGTAATAAGTTTGTAACATGACTAAAAGCTGAGTGAGCAGAATGTGATGAGTGCTGTGTTTTTGGTTTGTTTGGGCAGCTGTTGAAAAATGCTAGGGCAACTGTAGTAATGACAGAGTGTATCCAATGCCATCCTGCCACACCTGTAGGGAGTGAATGAGTACTATAGTGTGTGTGTGTGTACCTTAAGGTCGTACCCTGTCATGATTTGTCAGTATCAGTCTTGTGTCCACAGCTGAAAAATGCACCCGAGCCTGTTTGCTGGGACCGTCCTAGAGAACAAAGTGTTGTTAATGGGATTTTGTGGTAGGGAGGAAAGAAGAGAGGAGAGAGAAGAGGGGAGAGAGGAAAGGAGGCAGGAGAGGAGAGGAGAGAGAGGAGGGTACAAGAGTGTTTAGAGTAAATTCCTGACCTGGCTGGCCTTAGAGCTATCCCTGTTTACAGAGAGGGACTATGGGTGACTGAGGTGGCGAGGTCGTGACAGTTATTTTCACTGGCAAATAGATTCAACACAAACAACAACTATTTTCTTAGCTTTTGTATTTGATTCAGTATGTTTTTGTACACCAACACACAATTCATAACAGCCTCTAACAAATTTGGACAGTATTTGCATAGAACCACTTAAAACTAATTGAAATGGGAAATTATTATGAGAACGTCAAATAAACTCTTGAAAAAACAAGTTAAATTCAAGATTGAGTTGATTTAATTTCATTTTATTTTGTTAACTTATTTCTTTTGCCTTTTTAAATGCACTTTCCTAGTTGTTAAATGATCAAATGAACTGCAATATTGAACATAGTAATTACAGCGTTTTTATTGCCTGGTCCTACTTAAAATGCAATGACATGCTCCACAACTCTTTGTTCAATAAAATTAATTATGAAGCCAGTCCGAGACGCAGCAGACAAGTTCTCCTTGAAATCACCCACATAATGTCCGTAACAATGCACTTTAGTCTGGGAATCACATCCACAGCGGTCTAGACTGATCAATACTGTCTACCTAAAGCTGTATCCCTTTGCTTGAACCCCGACGCCCACCTCATCCTTCTCCTTTAGCTTTAACTGTTTGTTTTATAAGCACTCAAAAACCCACCGCTGAAGAGCCAAGGTCAGGGACAATATTTACAGGAAAGTTTAACATCCCCAGTTGAATTCAAGTATATATGCTATTTCTGTGCAAGCCTGCTATTGTTTCAACCTTTAAACGGTCCACTATGTAACTTTCTGGTTGGGGGTCTATCACCATCTTGTTTCTATGGATTCGTCATGGTTCTGCCTGGAATGTTCCACAGTATGACATTAAATCGCTCTACCTGACATGTATTCAATTACAGGCAGTTTCATAGCTTAAAAACACACTTTTAAGACTGTGAGCTGGTTACCTGTAACTTGGTTTGGTCTCCATGAAGATAGAAAGGTTTAATACCATACTGTGAAACATTCCAGACAAAGCAATAACGTCTATATGGAGAAAAGAATTTGATGGACTTTCTTATAGGCTTATATCTTGTTATATCTGTATTGGATCACTAAAATTTCTATTTGTGTATTCTGTGTTTATGTTGGAAAAAGTGGATTTGAATATAAATATAGAACTCGCAGTAGACCAGTTGAGCTGATATTGACACTTTTTCATCATATTTACTCTGGTTCTAGTTTATTCATGGGCAAACTCCAAATGGATATTCCATGCATGAAAGGAAAAATCGGCCTTAAAGGTCCTATATTATGCTAAATTGACTTCTTGTGAGCCTTAAGTCGGTTTATAATGTTGTTACCTCACCAAAAACCTTGAGTTGTTTGGTTTAATTCACACATGTTTGAGTAACCCTGCATTTTTACGCTGTGTACATCTCCAAAGCTCAAAATGCCCTGTAACTGCTATGTTTGACCTTTTGTTCAGTAGGGACTTGCTTTTTCACGGCCGAAATTGTGAATGATGATTCTAGTGAATTTGAATTTGATGGACCCTCCTAATCTCTAAAAACAAAATTTGATTCCCTCACTTGATGTTTGCCCTGATCCAATGCCTTACACGGAAGAGCATCTTGTAATAATATGTAAAAAAAAAAAAAAGTCTTTATTTTGTTGAAAACTTTTTATTCTATGTAGGCAACAAACAAAAACCATGAATAGTGTGATTAGTTTTACCTAAAAGCTTAGGTGGGGCCCTTTTTTCTTTAGCTGAAATTAATCTAATGCCATGTTCAGTGTAGTCCTTTCTTATGTCCATTTTTGGAGTGTTCCACAATTACACAGCGCTTTCAGGTTTGCCCATTGGCACAACAATGGTTTAAAAAGTGACTTTTCTCTGCCCAGATCCACTTGACTTACTGTAAATCTGGGAACTCTCGACATAATGCATGGCTTTGTCACATTTAGTTCTGAAGTCTGTCCCTTGCTTGAAGCCACTTCCTCTCCTCTCAGTTTATGAACAACTTTATGGTCCATTCTGCACTCCCCATCTGTCTATCATCCTGTTCACATTGTCAGCGCTCCCTGGTTTAAAAAAAGCTCATTATTTGGATGTTTTATATATCAGGCATAGTGGGGCTCCTTGTTTGTATTTGCATAGTGGGATGCTGCAGAAGGTATAATGTGTTGATTTCTAATGAGCTGGATGCTGTCAGTCACACATAGACAGGAGGAGACAGGAATCTACTGTAGTTACTTTAGCCTGTCATTTTGTCCACCTGACTCATTGCCGCTGCTCAGTTGTAATTGAATTTGTGTTGCACCTGTCAGTTTGTGCAGATCTTGGAATGAGTCATTGTTGTGGGAGAAAAGGGAGAAAAATCACATCTGAAAATAGGCAGGATTCATCATGGATGTGTCACAAACTTGTGTCGACGTTACAGAATAAGTGCTATTAATAGTGATACCATTGCTCAAGTGGATTGAAACATCTCAAAAACATCTTAATGTGTCATTCAGTACCTGTTAAATGAAGTTATAGGAACCAAGGTAATATTACATTCTCTATATTTAGCTTTCTCAATACAAACTATGGATGGATAATACACAAAAAATTCCATAAGTTATTGCGGTCCATGTGCATCACCAAGTATTTTTATATTGCCTGTATGGGGTAAATAAGACTTTTCTCAGGAGTACATGATAGAGATCGACCTAAGCCTGTCGCGATAACATACTTTGAAATGCTGTCTTTTGCTGAAATAAATATACATGACAAATGATAATATTGAAATCAAACCATAAAGCAGAAATATCCCATAAAAATGTACAAAACTGTTAAAAACCACGAACTGCAATAAGTAACAGAATGCAGCACACAAGTATATCTATAATGAATCATAGAAATCTCATTGTGGTTCAGAAAAATAACCATAATTTTCCCACTAGTGTAATGAAAAAGTACCCATGATAAATAATGGCCCCCAAAATAATGAAAAAGTCGATATAGTTTCCCAGGCCTAGATAGACATGTGTTTGTCTAAAGCTGCAGTAAACAGTAAAACACTGAATCATGATAATACCATTGTGAAAAGGATCAGTTCACAGTTCAAATTTTATTGTTATTTCTGTTGCTGCCCTCACAAAAAAGCATCTTCCCTCTCACAGACACTGAATTGCCCCTGCTCTACTGATGTTTTAATTATTTCCATTTCAGACACATTAAGACAAGTGTTTTTTTCTCTTCTCTTCTCCACCAGAGCATAGTGGCAAAGTACGCCTCTCAGTTCCGGGGAAATTCTCAGCACGACGCTCTGGAGTTCCTGCTCTGGCTCCTGGACAGAGTTCACGAAGATGCCAATCCCAGCCACAACAATAACAACAGCAGCGGCAACAGCAGTACCAAGGTCAAGAGCAACTCAAAGGTAAGCAAGTGGTTCTATTTAGTTTGCTTATATCTTGGTATATCTGTACTGGATCACTAAAAGGCCATTTCAATTTGTGTATTCTATGTTTATGATGGGAAAAAGTGGATTTGATCTAGTAGTGCAATGGTATAATATAAATATAGAACTCGCAGTAGACCAGTGTATTGAGCTGATATTGACACTTTCATCATATTTACTCTGGTTCTGGTTGATTCATCTGCAAACTCCAAATGGATATTCCACGCATGAAAGGAAATATCGGCCTTAAAGGTCCTTACGCAAAATTGACTCTTGCAAGCTTTAAGTCAGGTTATCATGTTGTTACCTCACCAAAAATATAGCTTGAGTTGTGTTTGGCTTCATTCACACATGTCTGAGTAACCCTGCTTTGCTAGGCTGTGTAGCATACATCTCCAAAGCTCAAAATGCCCTGTTCCTACTTGTGATGCTCTGAAGCAGTAGATTTAAACTTAACCTGCTGTATTTTACCTTTTTGTTCAGGAGGGACTTTCAATTTCACTGCTAAAATTATCCCAGTGATTCTAGTGAAGGTGTATGGAGTTTAAAAACACACTGGAGCACTGCCTGTATTATCACATGACATCATAAGGTGGAACATAGATGAGAAAATAGTGTAATATGGGCCCTGTAAATGTAGCCAGGCTGGCGCCACCTAGTGCCTCCGCTCAGTTTCTTTTCTCTCTAGCAACTAGGTCAGGAATCAGAATACACTGGACAGTTTGCAAGAACCCTGGAAGTTGTAGGCTGCGCACCAGCCAATCAGTGAAAAGCTGAACCAACACAAGTTCCGATAGCAGACTGCATATGCTATCCTCTTTGGACTTCCTTTGTCAAATACAAATTTCACACTTTAATTCACAAGTTCATCTTGCAGAAATGACAATGATCTCTAACAGACATGTTCACTCTCTGCTTTGTTTGCTGTTGTGCCAGCAATTAGTTGGACACCACTGAGTATTTCGGTGCATTACATACGTCATGACCAAATAGCAGCGATTGGTTAAATAAAAAAAAGTACCCAGCTACCATCAAGCGAACGAATCCTAATGCTGTGAGGTCAGACGGGTTACACGAAGTGAAACCAGCTGATGAATCAGGCTACTTTCAAACAGCAATACAGGCCAAAATTTAGTTTGAGGTGAATACCAGATTAATAATTCATATCTTTATTTCAGCTTTAACTTCAGTCCGTAAGAAGTGGGCTTTGTGACAGTGTGACTAGACTGTTCTCTTGTAGTTTGAAGGGAAACAACATTCTAGATGTCTGAAAATTATTGCAATAGATAATGCAATAATTTCGTTTTCTACATTTCCTATTCATGACATTGCACTTTGTGTATAAACAGTAACTGAATAAAATTATTACATTTCTATTGATGTTTTACAGCCACCAAAGGACAAGCTTTCACAAGTTGTAATTCATTCTATACAGTGTTTTATGATAGCTTTCAAATATATTCTTGTCATTGGTAACTAAGTTGAATTATATCTGACATCCACACAGTCTCATTGACCTTGCAGTGTGGTTTTATGTTGAAGCAGATGGAGCTGAAATGTGTCCTCAGCTCCTATCTGTCTGTGTGAGGAGTGAGATGTGCTTCCCTATCACAACCTTGTTTCTGGACCAGAGCCAGATCTGGAGGTGGAGAGAGAGAGGGAGAGATGCAGAGATGGGGAGAGAGACAGAGAGAATGATAGAGGTGGAGAGGCAGTGAAGGGCAGACGCATCATGAGTGAACTGATGACTTTTATCAGTGCAAGAGTTTGACATGGCCGCCCACACACTGACACAGACTGTAAAATAGGCTTTTGATAGATGCACTTATTACATTGGCACGGGAAGCTGTTAAGTGTCAAGTGCAGGATAGATTAGCAAGAGGAGCATGACCCTTTAATGAATTACTGAAACATGTAAAATGAGGTCATGAAAGCTTATTTTTATTTTTAAGTCACATAAACGATTACATATGTATTGCATTCCCGCTTAATTGACCGTTAAAACAGTGGGTGAACACGTTTTGTGTTTTCGCCCTTAAGCTCACCTAGTTCGGTCAGAAGAAAAAAAAAACACACTTCCACTTGCAAAACCAGGATGTTTGCATACATTTGCAAAGTGTATATTCATAAATCTTCCACATTTTCTGGCTCATTGTGGTGATAATAATTATTTTTTTGTTCAATAAATAATAGTTCCAGAAACCCGGTGGAGGTCACTCCTGACTTAAAACATATTTTTGAATAGTGTTGTACCCATGAGTTAAATTTACATTAAAATATGTCACTGTTACTCCTGAGATGTATTCCTACAGGACCAGAACTTAAAGGTTGTATAGAGGATTTTCCAAGGAACGAGAAATCCAGCGACTGTTTGTCCTTTTTCAAATGTTGCGCATGCGTGAAACCCCCCCCCCCCCTACAGCTCCCTACGTAGAAACGCCTTCTCCCGTCTCCTCTTTACGCCAGAAACAGGTTTGTTTACAGCCGGTGCGCTGCACATGACTTGTAAACAACTAACTACAGTGTTGGTTAGGCAAGACGGAGAAGTGAGGAGCGGGGGGAGCGGGTGCGCGGACATTTCGTGCGCGGACGAGAAGTGAGGAGCAGGGAGAAGAGCAGAGCAGGGAGCAGGGAGAGGAGAGAGGAGCGGTGCGCGGAGATTCCGTGCCCGGAGAAGTGAGGAGCAGGGGGAAGAGCGGATCGGGCAGCGGGGACAGGAGCAGGAAAGGGTGCAGAGAAGGGTGCGCGGAGATTCAGTGCGAATGAACTAGCTACAACACGCAGCAGCAAGCGGACTCTTTCTTTGCCTTGAAAATTACGTTTTCAGACATAGGATATCGCTTTCGTGTCCTGAAAAACGTTTGTCTAGCTCTTGGAAATAAAGTACGTTTTCATAATAAGCAGAAGTGACCTGTCCAGGAGTAATTTGGCGACCAATGCGTCAGTCTTTAGACCCTTCGTCTGCTTCAGTTGCGCCATCGCTGGAATGAATCTTCAAGAATCACCTTAGTTTGGCTTCGCTGCTTTTCCCCTTGTCTTCTTCTTTCAGCGACCTCAAAAACGGACTTTCTTTTGCGGCTAACTGCTCCTGGATTCTTGTCTGCCATTGCAACAAACTTTGTGCTAACTGCGAGGAAGATATAGGTAAAAAAAAGCCACTAAGAACTGTTGCGTTGGTGGAGTAAACAGCGTCTGTGCGGCTTGCGTCTGTGGACTGCGTGACAGGCGTACGTAAACCACGTAATGGCAGCGCGCAGGCAAGTCAGTTACGCTAGAAACGTAGGGAGTTTGATTGACAGCCTGTCAGCTCACAGATAACGAGGCAGTGTCGTTATCTATTGGCAAATGTGTAGCTGGCCCACCACGTCCAGAGTTGATGAATTTTTATTCTCTTTTTTTTGGTCATCATAATTACAAGGCTACTGCACCTCTATAATGCTATCATTGACAACTTGAAACAAAAAAAAATCCTCCATACAACCTTTAAGCCTGACACCATGAGTACTATATCCTCTTACTGTTCAATAAATTAGAGCTTAGAATATTTATAGAATATTTTTGGGGCTCAGTATTTATCATGGATACATTTTCTTTGCACTGGTAGGATTTCTTGGTAGCACAATAAGATTTGAGGTCAAGGGTTAAATAAGTCACTTCTTTGACTTTAATTATGGGTATTAACTAAGTGTTTCATTCTGTGATTAATTTATTGCAGCTCGTGTTTCTTAATTATATTATACTTTGAGAAATGAGGTTACTTGGACTATCATTTCATTTATTGCATCTTATTGCATCAGTGACATAAAGTAGAATCAGTTTGTGATTCTGTAGCAATATGTCACACTTCAAAATGTTATTGTGACCTACGCAGAGCTTTCCTCCGACAATAAAGATGATTCATTCTGGCCTCTTCTTCCTCCCCTGTCTCTGATAAAACTCCTTATCAGCTTTGTTAAGTCTCAGCGTGTGCCCACAATATCTGTGAGTGAGACGATAATTAAAGTCACACAAGAGGGCACAGGGGCAGAGGGGCAGAGGGAAGAGAGGAAATCTGATCTGAGTTTGAACCTGAGCCGAACAGGAAAGTGACTTTGATTGCTGTGTCTGTCACTGGGGTTTGCTGAGCTGACAGAAACTAAACTATGTCAACACTGTCCCATTGTCAAGGTTTAGACAGAGAACTGAGCCTGCAGCCCGTAACCACAAATGACCTTTATTAGCGGTGATCAATAATGTGATGAGTAGGCCTGTCACAATAAAAAAAAATTGCGACATATTGCATATATATACTGCAATAAATAATAATATTGAAATTACTTTATGCCACTGACACAAAATAAATAATATAAGACAATTCAATATCATTAAAAGGCCTGAGCTCCCACAAATAAATAACAGAATAAACCAATAAGTTATCAACCATTTATAGCTCAAATGTTATTTTATTGCAACAAAAATACCACAAATTTCCCCACTTTCACTAAGAAACTGTACACACAATAAATACTATTTTGTGTTATACCATGCACCGCTTCCATGAACTGTCTACGTTGTGTTTAGCATTGATAGGAGTTATGTAGTTCACTTGATTTGTAAATTTTACTATTGAAAGTACTTGTACAGCCTGTTATTTTGGTTGTGGTTACCATCACAACACCGCTAAATAATCTTCCTGGATTCCAGTGAAGTTAAGCATGGAACTGCAATAATAATAATAATAATAATCTTTCATCGATTTATTAACCAGTTTATGAAAGTCTTTATGACATGAGGACAGGGAACATTGGTGCCTTTATTCAGATTGACACCATACACATTAGAATTTTTAATATGATAGTTTCTATATCATTCTCACATTCTCACATGTTTTTATTTTTACTGTGAAGACCTTAAATGGCGTCTTGTTTTTCCCCAAGTGCTACCATAGACTTCAGGCTGCTGTACGGAACCTCTGGCCCTGGTTTGTCCTCCAGTGAGTC